ACTGCACATTATTTTTAGGTGAACAAAAAACTGCATATTTAATGTTGTGATTTAAAAACTGGACATAAGTTTTGATCATTTAAAAATTAGACATAATTCTTAGGACATGAATCTACTTTCGTTTAAAAACTGGCTATATGTTCTGGTCATTTGAAAACTGGACATAATTTTGGTCATTTAAAAATTCGACAAAAAGTCTAAGTATAAAAACTAGACATTATTTTTGGCCATTTATAAATTGGACATTCAAATAATTGACATAACTTTTGGTAGCTCAAAAAAATACAAATATACTTTGTTGGGCTTTTGAAAACTGAACATAATTTTTGGGTCAATTAAAAACTGCATGTCATTTAAAAATCTGAACATGATTTTTGGTCATTTAAAAATTGGACATAATTTTTTGGACATGAATTTTCTGTGCTATAAAATTTGGTCATACGTTTTTGGTAATTTCAAAACGGATAAACTAGAAACCGGATATAGATTTATATTCATTTGAAAAGTGGAAATATATTATATGCATACATTAGGGCGGGTCAATTTTTATGGGAGATTTATTCGACTATGCGCTTATAGCACAGAAGTATTCTACGTTGAAAACTAAGCAAATTTGCCGAAGAAAACTTGGGTCCAAAATCAATTTGAAGTTTGCCAAATTACGAAACAGGTTCCTTACCGTTTTGCTGTTGTGTCGTAAAGTGCTTAAATTTTCTTAAAAAAAAAAAAACATAACAAGAAGTGAAGAATTCACTCCTGCAAATTAGCAAATTTTCAAATTTTCTTCAAAACCTATTTTCGCAATTTGACAAACTCCAATTTGATTTTAGACTCATGGTTTCATTGCAGAATTTGCTCTAATATACATACTTTTAATAAATTAAAAAATGGAGATACATTTTAATTTAAAGTTTAAACATCAATTTTTGGCCATACATTTTTTTGCCATACACTTGTTGTTAATTCAAATTGGTATAAATTTTTAGAAAATTAAAACCTTGATGTCCAGGTTATTTACTTCACTTAAAAATTAAAAAAAAAATGGATATCTACCAAGTACTGATTCACACAGACCATCGAGTTTTTCAGAGAAGCGTCAGCCTTGTTTGTTGGCTCTACATACATACATATGTCTAACAAGTGGTGCGCAATGATCCGGAGGTAGAGAGGTCATTTCAGTGTAAGCTGATCAGATCAGATCTGACCGCTCGACCATCTACCAGCCAATAGAGCCGAGTGATATCGCAAGTATTTATCTATGTAGATTGTATCCATCGCCTATATGTATAGGCATGCCGTGGTCGAGTCTGGAGAAGTAGGGGTTTAGTATCCAGCTCTTTGTTGCGGCAGAGTTACGCCGGTCACTCGAGGCAGCTGGTGGTTGACCTACGATCACGACGGGAGGAGAGTTGGTAAAGTTTGTGATTGTCTCTCGGTCAATGTTCTTCAAGAGCCTCTGCACAACGTCGGGTCCAGTAGTTGTGCACCGTAGTTAGGGATCTCATCCGTAAATGCGTAGATATGCATTTCGAAGTACCTAGGAAGGGTTCTACTTCCTCCAAATTTCGGTTCTGGTGTTCCCTGCGGTAGCACCGCGCAATAATTTCCTGCTGGACATGAAATTCTGTTCTCTGACGGGTAGCAGTATAGTCTCGCTAAGTAAAGTGGTTGATATTCAGGCGACATCAGAAAGAATGCCGTTGCTGTCCATACAGACCTGGAACTTCGCGTCATTTTGACAGCGCAGCTTCCACTGGTGCCTGGGAATATTCGGGATGTAGAATTAAACCAGTACGCCATCCTACGAGACTCCTTGTTTAGCTATTTTTTACCTTGGAATTTGATCTCGAGTGAGTACCGGTGAATAGACGCACTAAAGATTAGTTTCATTCTGAGTACAATGATATTCAGTGTTTTGTGTAAGTCTGCGGGAATGATAAAGTCTAGGCTTCCATCGCGACGGCTCCAGGTAAACCCAGCGTCTATTTCTCTAATTCGAACTACCCTTTCAAGGATCAATATTTGAAATCGTATCTGTTAAAAGTCGTAGGAAACTTGGTGTTTAGAAACAAGAAAACATGAAGTTCGATTTACTAACCAAATATTTTGATTTCTTTTATTTTACTTTGCAAGACCTGACAGTGAGTGAAGAAGGAATTGACTGAGAGATCCCGCGAGAAAAATCAACGCCTTCATAATACGAGAACAGAGCTTCCTTGGATACAACAAATGCCAAATTAATCCCGAATGCATAGAGCGCTGATGAATATGACCAGCTTACAACGATGAAATATAATCTGCAATTTTAACTCAAAATCAAATGAGGAACAAGCTAGAGTTAAAAAGTGTCTATAAAATACTATTAAGCATGAAGGACTATTTGTACCACCTTAAAATTATCAAAAAGTGAGAATATTGAAAAAATTATTATATAAAAACTAAAAAACACTAAAGTATTTAGCTTTTAAAACTTACCTGCTCTTTAAACATATTTTTCGAGAACAAAATTTATGTTTCATGGGCAAATAAATTTTATGGGCTACTTGAGAAAACAGACCTAAATCGTAAATACATACAACAACAGTCAACAGTAAAAAAATATCATATATTGTATGTATTTAAGTAAAGCAATTATAAAGCATATGAAAATTGTGTTTAATCGAGGGCTAAATAATCAAATTATGATATCAAATAAAGAATTTTATGTAAAAAATAAATTTGTCCGAAAATTTTTATTCATTTTAACTACAAACCAATTTGAAAAATATTTAATCAACCTCATAAGTTTTTTCTAAATAAATACAATTTTTCAAAACAACTTTTTCTAAATTTATATCTAAGTGTTTTATGTAAGTGTTTCTCTGAAATTTTTTTGTTACAAACAATTGTTCCCCAAAAAAAATTATATTTTTGCGCAAAAAATAGTTTTTCTGATAAAAATATTCTTATTTATGGTACATTTTTTTTATAACTTTGGCAAATATTATGAGTTTTTCTTGAAAAATATTTTTCCTGCATAATTTTTTCCATGAAAAGTTAAAAAAATATTTTTTTTTTAGCTAAAATAATATTTGCCAAAAAAGCTACTTTTTTCCTCAAAATTTGTATCTTAATATATAATATTCTTCTTTATTAATGGTAATTTTTTTTTGATTGTGGTAGATATTTGTTTTTTGTAAAAAGATCTTTAAAAAATATTTTTAGCGTAAAACAATTTTGTTCTAAAAAATGTTTTTTGTCCAAAAAGAGTTTTTTCTGCTCAAAATTTGTTAACTTAAATTTATATTTTATTAATCCCAGAAATAATTTTTACGCGCAAAATAGCTTTTCTAAAAAAATATTATTTTTTTATGAATGGTAATTTTTTTTTGATTGTGGGGGATATTTGTTTTTTTTTTTTGNGCTGCCGAGATAGGTCGATCTTCCACTCAGCCATCGATATGTAAATAGAAAAAATACACATCCAAGGTGTCTAGGTTTTAAAACTTTACAAACTATAAAAATAAAAACACGATTCAAGTACATTTTTGTAAAGCTAGGATCATAATCCTATAACTACCATAAAAAACGCATGATATGAATTGAAAATTGTGTTTAATCGAGGGCTAAATAATCAAATTATGATATCAAATACAGAATGTTATGTAAAAAACAAATTTCTCCGAAAATTTTTATTTATTTTAACTACAAACTAATTTGAAAAATATTTAATCAACCTCATAAGTTTTTTTCTAAATAAATAAAATTTTTCAAACCTACTTTTTCTAAATTTATATCTAAGTGTTTTATGTAAGTGTTTCTCTGAAATTTTTTTGTTACAAACAATTGTTCCCCCAAAAAAATTATATTTTTGCACAAAAAATAGTTTTTCTGATCAAAAATATTCTTATTTACGGTACATTTTTTTTTATAACTTTGGCAAATATTATGAATTTTCCTTAAAAAATATTTTTCCTGCATAATTTTTTCCATGAAAAGTAAAAATATATTTTTTTTAGCTAAAATAATTTTTGTCAAAAAAGCTACTTTTTTCCTCAAAATTTGTATCTTAAATATATATTTTATTAATCCCAGAAATAATTTTTACGCGCAAAATAGCTTTTCTAAAAAATATTCTTTTTCATGAATGATAATTTTTTTTTGATTGTGATTGTGTGTGATATTTGTTTTTTTTTTTTTGTAAAAAATCATCAAAAAATATTTTTAGCGTTTTGTTCTAAAAAATACGTTTTCTCTTTTGAGTTTATATTTTGCATATCATGTACCAGTTTGTTTTTTAATTTTTATTTTTAAAAATAAATTCTCCCGAAGGAAATATTTTGTACCGAAAAACTAATCTTTAATTCTTATGTTTGGTACTTTCTTCTCTAATTTTCTGATAAACTATTTTTGTTAAACACTTTTTTTTTGTAAATACATATAATTTTTACTGATGAACTATTCTTTCCTAAAATTACCGATGTTCAAAACACTCTTATTTTTATTTTTTATTTTTTAATTTTTATTTAAATTTTTTTTTCTAATATTGCATGCTAAAAAGAACTGAATGAGTTCCTGTATATAGTAACTACGTATGTATGTATGTATATTTCTACTAAAAACACGAACTTTCTGGGACATCTTTTTATAACTGCATTTTTCCATAAAAATGTTTCCTGAGAATTTTTTTTTTGGGAGAACCCTACAATTGTTTGCAACTGGTTTTTATTATGTAACCTTTATTAACTGGAACAGGAAAATCGATTTTCTTCAAAATTTCTACTTTTTCTGCACATTGCACTAAAAAAAAATTTATACAAACAAAAAAATCAAAAATCGGGCTCAACCGCTCTTTTGCAAATTTTATTAGCTTTCATCAAAAAATTCAAATTGAGTGAAAAATTAAGGCTCCGGTGAATTATAAACACAACATGCCAATTTTGAATCACTGTGCGCTGTTACTAAAAAACCAATAATAAAAAGAGCTAGAATTCTTCTCCTCTTCTCTCCCTCTAACTTACCTTGCGCATGCAACAAATGATGCGGATGCCCGTGCGTATGATGCTGCAGCGTCAAATGATGATGGGGATGATGATGCTGATGTTGTTGTTGTTGTTGTAATGCATGCAGGCTATTTTGATGTTGCACCGCAGCAGCAGCAGCAGCAGCGCTGCCACCTCCCAAATTATGAGGCAAGAAAGCCGCAGCGACAGCAGCATGCGCATTGAAGTAAGCCATGCGGGAGGCGGCAGCAGCGGCCATAGTCATCTGGTGGTGGTGTTGTTGTTGCTGCTGCTGCTGCTGCTGCTGCTGATGTGCAGCAAGCTGTTGCTGATCGCCAGCGGCAGCTGTAGCGACATTAAAAGGCGATGAAACACCACTGCCGCTGGCGCTAACCGAAGTGACCACTGATGCTGACACAGCCGCGGTGGTGGATGCACTTGTGCCTGGAGTTATCGACGAACTCAATGAAGTGGCTANCTGCTGCTGCTGCTGCTGCTGCTGATGTGCAGCAAGCTGTTGCTGATCGCCAGCGGCAGCTGTAGCGACATTAAAAGGCGATGAAACACCACTGCCGCTGGCGCTAACCGAAGTGACCACTGATGCTGACACAGCCGCGGTGGTGGATGCACTTGTGCCTGGAGTTATCGACGAACTCAATGAAGTGGCTAAACTGCTGCTACTTGGTGTGCCGGCAGCAGCGCACTTTTGATGGGTGGGCGGCGGCGTGCGCGTCGTAGTTGTTGTTGTTGTTGTGGAGGCCTGAGTTGGCGGCGATGGTGGTGTTGCTCGACTTGCTGCTGCTGCCGCTGCTGTGGGCGAATACATTTTTGGTTTTGTAGTTGTTGTATCGCAGTCGCCACTGCATTCGTTTAAGTCACCGCTTGGGTTGTCGTCTTGAGTTTTGGCGACGGCAACGACAGCAACGGCGGCTGCGGCTGCTGCAGCGGCGGAATTACTTAAACCAAGCAGCTCTTGAATGGCGAAGGGCGAGCGTTGGGGCATTTTTGTTTTTACTTTTTTTAATTTTTATTTTAGAAATTAGTTTTTATTTTTGTAAATTTAAAGTGTGTCTATTTCAGGCATTCGATTATTTCGCATTCACGACGATTTGCGTAAGTATGTATGCCCATATGCTTTCTATTTTAAACTATATTTTTGATTTTGCAATGCGAGCGCAACCAAATATTATTACTGTGGCGCGAACTCTCGTTTAGTATATAATGAGCAAAATGGGGCGCACTCGTACGTTCCTAATTATGTGAGTACATACATAAGTACATATGAACACTTTTCGCGCGAAACAAAAACAGTCATAAAATATCTAATACATTACTACTTAAATACTCCATATCAGGAGAAAAAATTAATTACACGTGTTTTTCATATTTTATTCAACATTTTTATAATTTTATATAAATTCGCGAAAAAAACGTGTCACAAGGCAACACTCGATTGGTTTGACAGCACTTGCAGCAAAAATGAAAATTGCTAGTGCAGCACGAGCAAGTTGCGATCAAAAACGAATTTGCGTAATTTCAGTAGCAGTTACACCTTGCTATTTTTATTTCCGAAAGTGATTTCTGCAAATCTGCAAAATGGACTTTCTGACTGTTTACACGGTAAAGTAGACTTTTGATTTCGTATTTTGACAGCAAAATGCGTATAAAAAGCGCTTGCATTGCCACGTTTAACGGCAACTTAAAAGTCGTTATCCTAAAATTGAAATGGGCTACAAAACTGCATACTCAGTATATTTCTAAGAAATCTAGTTGAAAAGTTCAAAATTTTGATGAAATGTTTTTTTTTTTTTTGTTAGATAACTACACTTAGATAGCTACACTTTTTATAAAAATATTAAATAAATGAATAGCAAATTGCCAAATAATGCTAAAATTGGTGGCACTTCTTTTGGAAAATTTGTCTGAATAAAAATATTCCGGGTGTCCTAGGACTTTTTCAACCTCTAAATGACCTTCGAAAGTCGATTCGTCCTGGATGAAAATGGTTTTATTGGAAAACGAACATTTTTTTGGTTGTATTACCGACTTCCGGTTTTCACTGTAAGTAGGTTAAACTGAGCGAAAGTGCGAAAAAAAATAGTTGCAGCTACGAAATAGAAAGTTCTCTCCGATCAAAGGGTCAAAAGGCGTAATTATCATGAATTATGCTATTTAGGGCAGAGCTCTATGTTGAATTTATTTTCGAAACTGGCCGCTTTGCTCATTTCATCTCTGGTGAAAAGGACTAGAGGGAACTGGCTTTTCCATGTTCTTGGACGATGAGACCTTTCCTCTGCCAATGACGTTGAAGTTTCGTGAGAGATTGTCACAGCGTGACTACACTAGTTCTCGAAGCCCATGTCACTGACTCATGTGTATTAACTGGCCGTACTATTAAAGGGTAAATTAGCCCCAATCAGAAAAAAAGTTCACCATACATCTTCGAATCTGAAGTAGTTTTGCAAGGTAATCGCAAAAAAAAAAATCGGCCGTGCACAAGGGTCGTCTTTTCACATTTTTCGTCATAATTTTACAGTCGGAACTCAAAGCGTGATATAATACATTTTTTATTGCGAGGAGACATTATTTTGTACCAGAGCTCATGGACCTCAAGTACTACGTTCTATAACTTACCCACCCGATCTCAGTTATTATCACCAGAACGTATCACCTTAAATTTAAAGATCATTAAACTATTGCTAATAAAGTATTTCCATTATTTCAGTAGAACTATTAAAAAAAAGTATTTTTATTGCCGAATGTAGGTGAAAAATGCAAAAAGCCAACCTCTAGGTACGTTAAAAAGAACTGTTTGTCAAAATTGCCTTGAAAAAATGCTTTAGACTCAGGGGTGTACAGCGAACTTGTTTTTTTTTGTTTTTAGTTGTAAGGTTCGACGATTTAGTGTACACCCACTTCAAGACCTTTGCGCTGCACCAACAAGACTTTGCTGTGAGACACCTGCACACCATTAGTACTATCGTAGCTTTGGATATAATCGCATCAAAGGAAGTTAAAATTTAGCCCCACTCTGGCGCACCTTCCGTTACTTTAAGCCTTTCAGCACCAAGCGAAACTTGCTTTCCAAAAAGCTTAACCAGTCATGAGATAACTTTGTGAATCATTTTAAAGATTTCCGTTTTTTATAATGTGCTTCATTTGTTTTTAGCTATTTTTATATCATACAATTTTTGAAATAATTATTTTTACCCAAGCTAGAAAAATTGATCATCAATTAGATAAATTACTTTTGGAAAAAAATAGTTTTAGAAAAAAATTTAGAGAAAAAATATACATTTTTTGAAAAAATCTGATTTTTAGAAAAAATATTCACTTGATAGAAAATTTCTTTAGAAAAACAGTATTTTTAGAATATGTTTGTATATATTTTTAGGAAGATGTCTTATTTTTAGACATTAAACTTTAAGAAATGTACACTTAAGAGGAAATATTTTAGATAAAGCAGAATTTTTCGGAAAAAGGAGTAAATTTTAGATAATTTTTTTTTTAAATAAACAAAAAAATATTTTTTTTGAAAGCAGAATAAATTATGTGATTAGAAATTTGTTTTTTTTTTTTAATTGTTAAATTTGTTTTTTAATTAAATTGTAAAATATAATTATTTTCTTATTTCTTTCCTTTAGAAAAATCGTGTTTATTACCGACTTCATAATAAGAGAATAAGAGAGAGGGGTTAACGCAACTTCATTATATCGCAAACTGTCAACTTCATTCTAGAAATAGTGATATACCTAACAGCGGAAGTCATTATACGAGTGGGTTTGTAAAAGTACGTTCATTATCAAGCTCCACAGGAGGGGTGACAGTACAGTCACCTTCTTGAAGAAATCCTTTCGAGGTTTGTAACTTAACCACGCTGTACCCAAATTCCAGTACGTAGGTAAGTATGTATGTCAATATCTGCACATTCGTACATGTGATGTGTTGTCGAAGTTTCTGTCTATATCGGGCAGAGCTCAAAGAACTATTTCTCTACACTCATAGGCACCCACTTACTACAACTTCTATTCAATTTATTGAAAACCTTAAAAACACCAATTACAAATCATATAGCTAAGTAAAGAAACGGTTAAATGTAAAAAATACACAAATAAATAAAGGTTAATTAATAGAGAATTATTATTCAATAAAACTAACTAACGAGCGTTGACGCTCAAATGATGTTAAGCTAAAATCATTACTAATTTTCATTCAATGTTGATACGTGCTATTAATAGTACAATTTGCTTTGGCTTTGCTCTGGCGCGCTTAGTTGCTTTTGGTTTGTTTGCCTACTCAGCGGCAACGCCGCACTTGCTTGCCCCTTTTACACACTTGCGCTGAGCTGAACTATGCCAGAATGATGCGAGTATGTTGATGACGCGACGGAGGCGCTACATCGAAACGCAAACGAAAAACATTAACTGGCAATAAACCGGTTTATTGTGCACAACTACACGCACAGGCGTAGATACATACACACACTCACGGAGGCCGACGAGCGCGCGATTTTACGGATGACGCAAAAAAAACACAGCAGAAGTATGTGCGTACGAGGCGCACAGTTGTAGTAGCATTAACCCGCCAGCGACGCTTGACAACACAGGCATAGAGAGAAGGGCAATCAGCAAAACAGCAGAAAGCACCAACAAAAAAACATTGGCAAGTAAATAGCGCGCTGAGTGTGGAGCGTTTAACGCGAAGTCTAGTTAGGCGCACGCTTAGTTTTATACGTAAATTTTCGTAAAAATACGATTAAGCGCGCGCTTGAAAAATTCGCATAAAATACAAAACACAACACAACAAATTCGCCATAATTTCCACGTACAACTGTTGCCCGATTGCAGGCGCACCGAGAGTTTTGTGTTCACAACGACAATGATGACGGCGAGAACTCTGCTACGACTGCTGCGAAGGCACTGGCGCGCATTGCGCTGCTGAGCTGATTGTGAGCTGAAGCTGAGCTGTTTTGCAAACAGAAAATGCAAAAAGCTTTGCGGCAGACAGACGACTTGTGTGCGGCGGTGGCGCAATAGTGGCGGGAGAAACAACGCTAAGACGTACCGACGGACGGACGTAGTGTGTGGCTCGGACGTTAGCTTGCGCCGCAGCTTGCAAATTGTTTTTGCTTTCATTGCCCACTAATGTTTTTTCTATGCATTTCGTGTGAGATTTGGCTTGCGCGCATTGAATAAAACGTCGAGAAAAAAAGAACAACTACTAAGAAATGTTTAGTCCAAAAAATAAGGAGTAATATAAGGAGCAAAAGCATCGCAAGTCGCAAGGCAGCAAGAACTGCAACCTGCGCGTGCCTGTTGTTGTTTTACTACAAAATTTGCATACAAGGTAGTTGTTTTTATTTTCAAACGGTAAATTGCGAGAACTCACTGTGTGTGCGGCGCATAGAGCGCGCAGTTATTTAGAGCATAGAAGACAGGTAGGCTGGCGGGCGGCAGGCAGTCAACAAACAAACAGTCGCCGCCGCCACGCTTGCACTATGCGCGAAGGTGCTCGCGCAAACATTGGGCGTTAACCTCAAACACCACAGCGGCGTAGAGTGGCTTGACTGGCTTTTAGCTACGCAAGCCACGGTATAGCTGCGCTCTTCGCTCAAGCAGCACTTCCCCTACTTCAGTTATGCCCGGCAATATGGCGCATGCGCTTTAACACGCCTCCTGCCGCAACGTCAGCTAGAAGCGCGCGACTGTACATGCACCATGGCGATACACTACAGCTACGCTGCTCACTCACCCGCACCGTAAAGGCATTTCCAGCATAGCGACTTCCAATTGGAAACATTCCAGTTGGATTACGCGCGCTGCGCTGGGGTTAGTGCGCGTTTTGTTTATGTGTGCGTTAGTCTCCTTCCATCTTTGTTTTTATGTGTAAATGTGTTGTTGTGATTTTTGTTGCCATTCATTTTGCCAGCTATACTCATGCAGCTGCAAAATTCCCCTTTCTCTTTATTTTTAATAACGATTGCTTTGTGTGTAGTAGGTAGCATAGTTGTTAATGTTTTTGCTCTTATTACTACGCTTTTTTGTTGCTGGCTGCTTACTTGGTTTTGCCTAACACTCTGTGGTTGTTGTTATTGCTATTTTATGCCCACTTCGTCGATTAATGGAGTACGCCAATTTATAAACGCGGCCGCTCATTGCATTCATTTGCTTTCTTCATTTACACTATGTGCTCTCATTCATGGCGAATGTTGGGCAACACTTTTGTTGTTGCTGCGCAGTTCTTGAATTTCTTTTGTTATTTCTGTTTACGCCAGTGTATCTACTACGGTTGCTGGAGTCTATACTTGCCATTTGCTTAGTTAGTGGCACTCAGTGGAGTTCTCTCACTGTTTTCGCATCGCTGTGAGACAATCATTGAAGAACAGTGTATTGAGCAAGGGTCTTGTCTACTCAAAAATCATAAAAGAAGCAGTTTTAGCAATAGATAATCAATATTTATTTATTTGCTTAGCCATATGGGACAAAAATCCCTTATTGCTCTTTTAAAATTATCATATCGAACCCTAACCAATATTCCAAAATTTAATTTGACGCAGAAATGCATCTAGATGTTCTAGGAATATTTCTACATCAAAAAGAAAATTTTGGAAAAAATGTCGCTTATGTTATTTTGGCGGTTAGGGCTTGATATAATAGGCTGCGTACAGCTCCACAAGGCGGGGAAAGCTCCAAACCAGGAACATAATTTAGCACAGGTAGGGCTCTATTCAAAGGAGCAAATTTGGCATAGTTGTACATACTTTGGAATTCCAGCATAAAATATTGAGACCAGACGTAGATTTCGAATAGGAACATTAAAAGCTTATCTTTTCAAAAGGGTAGGACAGCTTACTGAATGAACTCAAAATTGCAGGCAAGCAAACCTACTAAGTAGAGGTTTTACTACAATAAAGATTCTTTAAAATTCGAGCAGCAGAGTTAAAAATTAATCAACCTCTTTTGAATTCCTTCTATGCGTCTAACATAAGTAGCATAATCTCCAAATTAAGGCAGGAGTATAGTTCTTACAAAAGAGATGTAAAAAAGCTTCACAATTTGCTGGTCAGAAAATGATAGACTGTTACGCCGAACTAAAGCTACCGTAGCATAAGACATCGAGACAATGCAATTGATAAGCGTTATAAGGTCACCCACAGTAACACTATTTTTAGGAAATCCCAAAATATGATAAGTTGTGGGTAAAGGAATAAACTTTCTAGTGAAACTAGCATGAGAACACTTATTTATATTTAAAAGCAGACGATTTTGTGCAAGTGCCTAATTGTTTAGTATATCATAAAGTTATCCGCACATATGTAGTGGAAGTTTTCCTTCGAAAAGTCAGTATAAATGGTATCCACCTGATGGCATTCATGAAAGGCGGCAAAAAATTCTCCGTAAAGACCGCAAGATTGGAAACTGCTGATCTGTCTCTAACGAAACCATATTGCTGTGGGCAAATCATGCTGCTACTCGCAAATTATAATTTATCTTTAAGGATGCTCCCAAAGATTTTGGATACCGTGGATAATTTCGAAACCGGCCTATAATTGGCAACGCTACTCTTATTAGCGCTTTTGAAAATTTCTGTTATTGAAGCCCTTTTCCAATAAACAAACAACTCACAGGATGATGTCTTATTGAAAGTATTATTGTTAAAAGTTCAATATGTAAAGAATACCATCAACACATATTTTTATGGGAATTCGATGCCCCTTCTAACGCTTTCAGTATATAAGACGGCGATACAAAAGCAAAGCCCGAGTCGGAGATAGAACTACCCTCAGTAAAAAGATTCGAATCCGCATTAAAGTTAGAGCGTAAAACCCGGCAAAGAAATTCGCAGCGTCTTCAGAAGACCACGCTTGCTTACCATTATACAAAACCGAGGAAGCAATATTTGAATTTGATTTCTTAGATTTGATATAAATCCAGCAGGCTGTCAGAACATCATTCTGCTTTCAGTTGTGCAATACTTCGATAGACAAAAGATCCTACCACAGGCGGACCTTAGAAAGTGTCATATAAAGTCGAACGCTGCGCCCAAATATTCAGAAAAGTCTTGGTATTGACTCCTTGCTGCAAAAAGGTCGTATGACCGGCTGATTAAGTAGTACTAATAACGATCGTCATAGTATTGCACCTTAGTCGATATGAATTTCTTGTGAACTTTTCCTTTGGCAGGTAGGGATAACATCTGCAGAGGCATCAATTATGATTTAGAGAAGCTAAACGGTTTTGCGGTATCCATGTCAGTAAGAAAGGCCGATCAATCATACCCCGTCAATAGAGAATTTAAAGGATCAAGATTACTGAGAATATTTTCTCAGTAAATCTTATAGTCGATGATTAATTTTTACTTATTCTTATTAACTTATTCTTAACTTTCAATCTCTCTCTAACCTTTTAACTTTGAATCTCCTAACATTAAATTTGTATGCATTAAGGTTTGCCAGTGATGTTGTCTAGCGGTATGAATTGGTTAAGTTAATTGGTTTAAGTTAAGTTCAATTAAAAACTTGGTATGAACCCATGGACTTCTTTCTTCTTCGTCTCTGGAGTTCTGGCGTGGGATCAGTTTTTCTTCAGCATCCCAGTAGCTGATACCTATATTTTTATTGACAGCAATGCGAGTATTAAATCCCTGGGAAAATGTGTCTGACTTCAAAATTAGTTGCGTCATGAAGAGAAATTGCACGACCGATGAACTTGCACGTCATAGAACGGCATTGCCTGATATAGACATAAGAAATGCAATTGGTGTGGCAAGTGAACCAACTTATCATATTGCCAGAACATCCTTCACAGCGCAGTAAGCCCCCACTAACCTAATGAGGTATCATACTAAGTGAAGTTCTTGCCCTAATTGTCTGATTGGATTACACGCAGCCAGACTGGGCGCACACAGGCTTGACTACTGCAGAAGTTGCTTTTACGTGGACGAAAAGGAAACTATCCAAGCCCTTCTCTGCAATTTCCCTGCTCTAGCTAAATGGAGAGCAAAATCTTTCGGCAGTTAAATATATCTTTGACGAACTTGCTGACCTCAAAGCAATGGGAGCTTATGCACTTTCTTGCAAAACAGCAAGCCGAGAAAAGATGCGCTTTCACAAAGGACCCTAAATCGTAGTGAGTCCCACGGAGGCCTAACCTGGTCTACTTGTTCGTAGATGTACAACCGTTTCTTAGATAGCTGCTAAACTTCGCTTTAACAACGTTACAATGCTCGAAATGGCTTCTTTAGCTTAAGTTGCTCGCCGAAAATCCGTCGCCGAACTTCGAAAGGCTTCATACTAAAAATCTGGTGAACATCTTATAAAACTTGTAACCATGTATGTGGCACACTAATCTAGGAAAGCTTCTCCGCCTTATCTGGCTGTTATCAGTGGAGTCATGCACACAAGTCCAAGGAAGGCGCTGGGTGTCATCACTGGCAAATCATTACTAGCCATTTTTAATGGAAAGCAAACTTGCATAGCGCGAAGAATGGAGTCATAAAGTGCTCTTTAGAGGATTTAATATTATTACCTAATAGTCACGTTGATATTCACAAACGCAAGGCTACCTAAGTTGTTTTTAGCATGCCCTACAAGGTTGTTAGTCTTGAAATGGAAACTCGTAGAGCGAGAACTATAAGCCTACATCGAACAGTGAAGATTTCTAAGTTTGGTGTATAGCTGGATGATGAAATTCTAATCCAGGCTTACATATTTCGAGTAATACTATGTGATACAGGCTTTTTAAGTATAAAGACAACAAAAGAGGTGTAACTCTCGCAAAAAAAGGACGTAGCGGAACCTCTAGTTTATCCAAAGGATGCACAGCAGAGCTTATAACGAGGTGAAAAAACTTTCAGGTAAGTCAGAGGTGAAGACAACGCAGAGGTTCATAACACCCTCT